AAAAGGGAAAAGGAGAAACATTAAAGTACGAAAACGATAGCGCTGCCTCGTATTTTATTGTACCTACGCACTATAACCGAACATTAAATTTTTCCGTAGGAATTCCAATAAAAACGGAGGAGTTTAATTTTGACTGGGGCCAATCCAATTACAACAACGGGTTTCGAGAGAAAGAGAGATTGCGCGAGTTTCTCTCTTTTTTTATTTTTATTTTTATTCTATTTTTTTTTTGTGAACGAAACGCGCGCGTTGCTGCTGCAAAATGCAAGCGGAATTTTGACCTATCGATGTGTGCACACATATATGGTCTTTTACTTTCGTGACAAATGGATAAACGATTTGGATTTTTAAATTTAAATTCGCGCAGTCCACCGCGAAACGAATTTTGCGAACGGGAGTGTCTCGGAGCCTCGTAAAGTTCGAGATTCGGAAGACGAGTTCGAAGAAAAAGTTTTAATAAAAAAATTAGATATTCCACACGTAGAGCAACTTTGTCATCGTTATAGTAGCTCGTGAGTAAGCATACCCCAGAAGTACTTTTTCCCTCTGCAATATCAATTTCCATAAATGTGTCTAGAGCACGGCATATACAAAGAAGAGTTTTAATAAAAAATTAATATATTCAATTCCGCTATACCCCGTTGCGATGACGATGTATCCGCGCGTCGACGCAAATTCTTTTATCGCGTGTTCCTTCAAAGCGGCGCGATGGGCTCATGCAGTGCGAGAAATAAACTTCTCTCAAACTTTTTCAAACGGAGTAACACACTACACAAGAGACTGATCAATGGTTTCAATGATATTATATCATTTTCAAACTTCATCCAAATTGTACGAGGATATTTTAACATTTCGCATTTTCACGGTAACATTAGAAGAATTTTAAAGCAATTTTAAAATTATATAAATTATTATAAATAACTAATATTTTTGAATAATTATATACATAAGAAAATACATACTGGATTTTATTGAATTGCTATACACGTAATTAGATTTTGATATTATACATTTTAAATGAAATACAAAATATCCAAACTGTACGTGAAATATTTTTAGAAAACTATATGTAATCAATATTTTCTCGATTAAAATTTAAACAAAGTTTTAATTACGAGTTTTAATTACGAGTTTTAATTATGAAAATTGAGTTTGAGTAGATTTTTTTCTGCCAAAATTGGTTAAATTTTTTATCGATTGACAGATATAGAGAGAGTTATATTACAAATTGAATTATATGAAAAATTATATTAATTATTAGATACAAATAAATGATAAAATTTTATTTTTCTTTAGATAACTTTTATTAACTTTATTTTTAAAAAAAGTTTATTGTAATACAATATATCCAAACAATTAATTATAATATTGCAAGTTGCTAATTATCGTGTGCGTAACTTTTCTAACTTAAATACTACCGATATTAAAAGAAAATCTAACTTTTAATTCAAACAGAAAAGTCCCCTATATAATATAATATAAACTTTTGTCGCATTTTTTTGTTTCAATTCTTATGAGATGATACCATTTATATCCTAACGCAGGGAATTAAGAAACCAAAATTTTCTGCCACAAAAAAAAAGGTATATTAATTTTGTTGCATGGTAGTTTTGCACGTTGAAAGAAAGCGCAGATGTTTTACGCCGTCGGCGTAAGTTGTAAAAGCAATACCCTGCGTGACGTTGCGCGATATATTTTTTTTTCTCCTCGACGGTGGATGTTATCAGAATCACTAACTAGATCGCATGCGTGCGCCACAAGATAACGCGGTCGTGTGCTCGAAGGAAAAGCTTCATTTTTAATTAACTGAAATAGAAGTTCATACAGGCTCGAGCTCTTACGTAATAATAACGTGCGGTAACGTTGCTACCTGCACATGCGAAAGCATAACGCGTTATTAACATTACTGACCGTTATTAGTTGGAAAGGCGGCATTAAGTTGACCTAAATAAGCTTCCACAAATTGGTGCTGGCATTCTCGTTACGGAGTTACACTTTTAATGAAAGTAATATATGAATAAATCTGATTCCCAAATTTTTCAAGTTTGCTGCAGCACGTGTGCGCGATATTTCTGTTATATATATATCCCTGAAATTTTCGTAAGTACATATTTGGAAAATTACTTTGTGTCAATTTTCGCATTTGATACGAATAATTAAGCATCGCTTCATTAATCTACATTCACAATTGTCAATGTAATTTTATATTTTTTGTTAGTTGTACTTTGATATAAGCAAGCAAAAAAATATTATAAAGAGACGTTCTCGTATAAATCTGATACTGATGGTGTAACGATGTTTATTTTATCAATTACGCGCAAAGTAACAAACGCATAATTTCATTAGAATACAGATGCAGCACTAACAGTAAATTTCACGAAACTACCATGAATATTCGTATGCGTGAAAAGAACGAGCCAACTAATATACAGCAAAAATTCGTCAAAAAGCTGCCTTTATTTTTTTGTATAATTTGTATGATTAAATTATGTAGGAACGTGTAAAAAAGCGAAAAGCGTGCGAAAGATGAATTAAAAATTTATTTTAATTTATTAGAAGAATAGTATTTTTAACAAAAAAAAATACTAAATTGAGTGAAAAGATATTTTGATAATATGACGATTTCTGACATTCTTCGATTTTATCTGCTCTACATTTTTTCGTTACGTCTTTATTATGAAATTAATTATTAGAAAGATGGAATAACGAGTTATATAGGTGATTAATTTTTTTAGTGTCTTTTGAAAATTTTTGAATTGTTTTTTATATAATCTATATAAGTAGACTATCTCTCTCTATATATATCATTGTCAATTAATATTATTATTATAGTATCATAGCAAGAAACGTCTAATTATGAAAATTATAAAAATAGAAATAAATCGCTGGCATTCTGTTTGATTAAACTGACCAGTATAATTATTTAAATTACCTCGTTATAAAGTTTCGCGTCACACTTTGTTTAAAAATATAAATGACCGTACATATGAATATTAGAAACTGTAATTATCATATATGCATATGAATATGTAAAAAATGTGCGATATGAAACGAACGCATTTGCGAAATTTTCCAAACGATTCCATTAATGACATGCATAATGGAATCTCTATTTTATCTTTAATTCTAATGGTCCAAGGTACTTGAGATTCATTATACTGGACGAAGGTCTTTCGAATTTATGCCGGTGGAAACGCATATTACCTACCTCACGTCATTCACGTCTCCTCGAAAGATCCATTAGAAATGCTTTCCCTTTAGTCCCACGACTTGACGCAACGCGAAAATGTCGACTCGGATTAATCGTGACGCGTTAGTTAAAGGTCTTAACATTTACTCACACATCTTCGTCGCATTTTGTCCCATCTTCCATGATTACTGGATGATCTTAAGCATATTTCGGTGTATATGAGATTTCGTGCGCTACTTTTCATAATTTGATTCATATGAGCGATTACACGAGACGAAGATTTCAGATTATGATGGTGACCTGATCTTAAGTTTGTTTAAGAAAATTATGTACATGTTTTGAAAGTTTTGAAGCACGAAGTTTGCAAATTTTTAAATACAGCTTCCACGAGACTAAGGAATAAGCGATGCTAAATAATGCAGAAAATAATTATTGTAAAGAACCTCTTCTAACATATGGAAATCAAACATTTATTTTGTATTTTAGCAGTTTATTTAGAAAATAGAAATTTTTGATTTTTAAATTATTTTTTTGATTTAAAAATTATTTTTTTTATTAAATTTTTCTTAAATTTATTATTTGTTAATTATAATTTACATACATAAATTACAGTAATTAAAGCACTTTAATGACAATTTTACTAGAAATGTGAAGTCGATATTGCCCTAAATAAGGAAAATTGGACGATTAGTATAAAAAGTATGACTCAAGTATGGAAATATTTATAATCTAAAAGGATTAGGCAAATAAAATTTAAAAATGTAAGCAGCGAACGTTCTTAAAAGCGTCTTCATTTCAGAGTTAATTTAACCTCAATTTTATCTTACCAGCTCTATAAGAGTTTTAATCATAAAAAATTGAATCTCAATTGATTTTTTAAATTTTTCCTCAAGAATAGTAAACATTAATTAAATTTGCAATAAATCATCTGGTTTTAAAACATTTCTCCGATAATGGGCCACTTTATATCACATTTTTAAGAAATATAGTAAGCAGCGGATTAATATTCAAATACAGGGTGTCCTGTAACTAACGAACCAATGATTAAGGGCGGATTCTCTGGCCAATTTGGAGACGATTTTTCCTTAGCAAAAATGTTGAGGAGTCAATAATTTTCGAGTTATAAGCGATTGAAAAAAATGGGTTTTTTGAAAACTAAACGTTTTGGAGTTAAAAGTCTAACATAATTACATTCTTCAGTTAATTTCAGGTAGAGTTTACTATAATAAAATTTTAATTCGAGGCTTAGTTATAAAAAGATACATAATGACAAATATTGGAAAGTTGTAAAAAATGATGACCTTTTCCGACATTTTCGCTGAGGAAAAATCGTTCCCAAATTGACCAAAGAATCCATTTGTAATCGTTGGTCCGTTAGTTACCGGACATCCTGTATATCGTATCAGGGGGCGTTTGAAAAAAGCACCAATCGAGATCGCGCGATATCATTATTACAATTTGACATCCTAGACTGGACTCTCGCGCGAGTTGCTAAACGCGCGCCATGTCGCGTTTAAATCTCCGGAGCTGGTTTTCCCACCAAATGAAAAACGAATCGAGGAAAAATTCCCACGATGACGGCGCTAAGACGTATATCGCGGAAGCGAGAAACTATAGCCACGTTACAGAAAGGGGGACACAAAAGGTTCCGCGAATCATCCCGCTGGAGTGCAAACGGAAATGAGAGCTCGAGGGAAAGAGGAAAAGGCGGGCCCGAGAGCGCTTTCATTCTCTCTCCCGCCATATTTTTTTTTTCCCCAATCCCTCTTTCCCTCCACATTGAAACAGAACAGCCACTTGGTCTACTCACTTTGATTTCTCTCGCAGCTTTCGCAACACTTTCCGCAACACGATCCTCGTGCGTGGTCGGACTCGCGCTCTCTGTTGTTGTTTATATATTCGCGGGCGAATATATAGGGTACGCTCGGAGGGGGATGAAGAACACCGAGGGGGTTGTAGAGCGAGAGAGAGATGGGGAGAAAAAAAAAAGAGAGAAAATCGAGAAAGATATATGTATATGAAACGCGGGAGAGACTCTCGCGTGGAGTCACCCTCGATGGGGAACGCGAATATATATATATATATATATTCACGGGGGATGATGGTTCGACGCGCGTTTGACAAGTCCGGGCGCGCGACAACAAACGAGCGTGTGCACGCGACGACGGTCGGGACGATACTGCGCCCTATTGGACGGCCCTGCGCAAATATAATGGCGCCCCTCTCCTGCGGTGCGTCCACCCCAACCTCGACGTCGGCGTCGGTACCGCGCCACTACCCCCGAAGAGGGTGTATACGCGTCCTCTCCCCTCGGTGCTGATCGTCTCCTCTTCCTATCCTTTTATCTTTCGTCCTCCGCTCTCCAACGGCAAGCTTCCGGTGCACATCGATGGCTACTTCCGTTCACGCTCGAAGGGCTCGACGCGGAGGTTCTCTCTCTCTCTCTCTGTCTCTTTTGCTACCCTCATCCTTCTGCGCTCGCCGCGGTGGTAATCGCTTGCAGTCCGAGTTACGCTCGCGAGCACACCGCTCGAGATAAACGCGCGTGCCCGTTTAACCCCTTTTTCTCCGCCGTGGAGAACTGCATTTTTACCGGATGAACGGATTTTAATTGCATGACTGGCTTATAGGAGCGCTTAGAATAATCAGCGACCCTCTCGCTTTTCACGCTGCCCCCGTGTTAAGGGGAACAACGGCCTGAAAATTGCTTGCGTATTTTAAGGATGTTCACTCCGGGACGACGAGGGGATATTTTAAGGATCCTCGCCGAGCGACAAGGGCATATTTTTAAGATAGCCAGACACGAGATACTTGTGTTGAACTTTCGATTCTCGTCCCCGTTATACTTTATTACGATATATATATATATATATACATTTATTCGCGCGTTTACAAGTTCATTAAGTATCATTTGATTTATTTCTTTTATGTACGGTGAAGAAATTTTTTTTCTTATTTTTCATTGCACCATAATTGCGTATTAATTCGTAATTTTCATTAATCATGAAACGGTATATATATATACCACCCTAATATATATATATATATATATATTAGGGTGGTCGTTAAATTGAACATCATGTTGGATGGTCATAAATCAGCTCCAAATGTAGAAAAAATAATTCTCTAATTTTTTCGGATGTTTATTTTCAGCCTTGAGTCTCCCTGTTTACACGTGTTATGTTATATTCTTATATCAGTTCATTTATTTATTCATTTATATGTTATTTAAATATTATTTATATTATATTTTTTATAATTTGAAAAAATACTTAATTTACTTCAGTTCTAGATGGAGTCAGCTGCAAAAGTAGTGAACAAAATTATTTAATTTTTCATAAAAGATAGTCATAAATATTATATGGGCTATTCCGTTATTTATATTATTTTATACTATATTTTCGGTATTTTCAAATAGTTTCAACTTTTTTTCACTAAAATTTCAAACTATTTACAACAAAAATTGATGACAGAAGCAGCTGCAGAACTGTGGTATTAATAAAATTATTAATAAAATTACATGCCAATAGGGAGACTCAGGACTCAAAATAAAAATTTGAAAAAATTAGAGATTTTTTTTTTTTCTAGATTTAGAGCTGATTTACGACCATCCAACATTAAAATTTTGAAAAAACCTATATAACGACCACCCTAATATATATACATTTATTCGCGCGTTTACAAGTTCATTAAGTATCATTTGATTTATTTCTTTTATGTACGGTGAACAAATTTTTTTTCTTATTTTTCATTGCACCATAATTGCGTATTAATTCGTAATTTTCATTAATCATGCGTTTGCGCGTTAAAATATGCTCTGTTAATTTCGAAAGTTGCGCTTGATATACGGATACGCTCGAAATATTTATTATACATCTATCTGTTGAAGCGAAATAAACATCTTCTGGTGGTACAGTCGTATCTTTTCGCACAACTAATACAAGCGAAATTTAATCACTACTCCGGCAGAATTTTTATGTACATTTAAAAATCTTACTACGGACTGTAAAAAGAGAAATTAACGTGATAAAAGAAGATTCGATTTGTTCAGCATTTTGCATGTTAAAATTAGTCCAAGGGGCTCACTATACCGTAAAATTTGTGGCCACACTAAAAGAGCTTACTTTGCAAAATATTCTGGGTTTTTGCTTGTTCTAGCGTCAACATTATTCACCACATTGTGCGAATAGAATGAAAAGAGAAAACGTAAAAGATTAATAAAGAGTGACGTAAAAAGGGCATACACTATGCTGCTGAACATAATAAAACCAACACGTAACATTTGCCTCTTTTTAATATACATATGTATATTTATTGTCGAGCAGTTATAATACAATTTTTTAAAGCTTCGATGTAAGAGATAATTTTAGCCTCGGAAAAAATAAAATTTATTTATTTTATAATTATATATAATTACATATGTATAATTAAAATTTATTTGATACAATAGATTCTAATCGAAAGAACAAAACTTTTATATGTATCACGGTATATTTTGCGCATAACTGTAGAACAAAAAGACTTTCCTTCTTGCGTAGAATCATAAAATAGTACTGCAGTGCTTTAAATCAAGCATGTTACAAATTCATTTGCTTCCTAGAAAGAGGACACTATATTTATAACGTCTCCGTCTTGTTCGGTTCGTCGAGTTTTGCAGTCGAGAACGATTCATCTGGAAAATCACTTAAATCATAATTATTATTATACAATATATAGTTGTTGTCATCTTAAGATATCTTTAAAAGCACATAGTTGAACAATTTGTATTGATTTTAATAGATATCACATGTCCCAAAAGTCTACAAAATTTTTTGTGTTAATAAATTTTAACATAAAGTCTTAATGTAAAAATAAACTAAAAATATGTTAATTTTATATTTTATATCCCCACTTATATTATAAAATAAATAATTTTTATTGTGTAAAATAAAAATAAATGCACATCTTTTTTCAGTTGTTTTAATAATTTAACACACGAATGTGTCAAATATTTACCACAAAAATTTTTCACAAGCACAAACACAAATTTTCCTACTGTGCAGATATAAAGGCGCGCTAAATTTATTTGATCCCGATTCGAAGGGGGATGCTTTTGACCGCGCGAAATCAAGTTTCCGGAGGTTGGCGCAAGTCGATCCGAAGGAATAACGCGGAAGTAATCTGCTTTGAGCGAGGCGACGAAAATGTTTATCATACTCCAGCGCTGATCGCTACGGCGCGCACAAATAATAAACCTTATCGGCCCACCGGGATATCACGAATAAATCTTGAAACTCGATTTCCTCTCTCCTGAGTAACAACACGTCGTACACGGGTTATCGCGCGGCGTTTCCATACGAGAGAGAGAGAGAGAGAGAGAGAGAGCAACGTGACCGATCTCCTGGCATTTCCCATTTTCGCGCGTCGCCGAAGGGTTGGAGATCGATACCGCGTCTGGACCGATAAAACTTACGACAGGTGCTGGAATGTGATTGTTTTGAAAAGAGCTGACATTACATGTCAAAAGGAAAGAAAGCGTACAAGTTCAATAAGAGCAGCCTACGCGGAGAGAATTTTCCTCTTGGAATTTACCCGCAAAATTGGGCTAATCGTGGAACAATAGGATTTATTGTTGCAAGAATTTTGTAAGGGTTTCTCCGAATTAATGTTTATCGCAATAAAAAATTAAGAGCCACGAAATAAAAATATTTAAATATGTACACAGTCAAATTAATCGAACAGATTTTATATCTTATAGTGTAGATATTAATATTTTTATTGTGGTAAACAAATTCCTCTTGGAATTTACCCGCAAAATTGTGCTAATCGTGGAACAATAGGATTTATTGTTGCAAGAATTTTGTAAGGGTTTCTCTGATTAATGTTTATCGCAATAAAAATTAAGAGCCACGAAATAAAAATATTTAAATATGTACATAGTCAAATTAATCGAAGGGATTTTATATCTTATTGTGTAGATATTAATATTTTTATTGTGGTAAACAAATTCCTCTTGGAATTTACCCGCAAAATTGTGCTAATCGTGGAACAATAGGATTTATTGTTGCAAGAATTTTGTAAGGGTTTCTCTGATTAATGTTTATCACAATAAAAAATTAAGAGCGTCAAAATAAAAATATTTAAATATGTACATAGTCAAATTAATCGAAGGGATTTTATATCTTATTGTGTAGATATTAATATTTTTATTGTGGTAAACATGAATCAGAGAAACTCTTAGAAAATTCTTTAATATCTTATTATTCCACGATTACCACGATTTTCAAGATAAATTCTCTCTGTGTAGGGTATTTTTTCTCAATGGAAAGAAAAGATAAATGAGAATAAAAAGAAATATCTTTGAGGTTTTTGAACTTCATTTCTAGTTAATGTTACACTCTATATTTACACGCGCGTAATTATTATCAATTATTATTAATTAAAAATAAATTAATAATTAAGCTGTGATAATTAATATTTAATTATTACAAATTACAGTAATGAAAAATGTTGTTTTAGTATATACTAATAATTCCGAAGATAATTTTTTTTTGTAGAATAGTAAGAAGTGTATTCTTTTTGAATTGTAAGTTATTATAATATCTATTTAAAATAATTATTTTAACACACTTTTAAAAGCCTACATCCAAAAGTACAATACATTTAAAAATATAATACATAAGTTTTATATTGTATTTAAATTTGAATTAATTCAATTATAGATTTCATAGTTTTGATTATATTGAAGAACGCTCATAATTAAATAATCTTATGAAACGTTATCAAAATATCAAAAGTATAAATAAATATCGTCGATCAGATATTTTAAAACCCTTCTTGCCATCTTTTAACCGACAATTTTATCTCTCTCAAAATATTTTATATGTTATTACATCTATATAGCAATATATTAATAAGTTCTCCATATTTTTAACAGATTGATTGACTAACGGATTTTAAATCAACTTTCGTGAAATTTTTTCCCTTTTTTGCAAAATATTTTTGTTATTTTAAATCGAATAAGGTCGCGTTTAAATAAAATATTTGGTATTTGCGCGTAGTAAAAGCTTTTTTCTTACATTGCAACTGTCAAACTTTCCAAAACGAAAATCATAAATGCGACACTGATTGTTATCGATAATAGAAAAATATTTGCCGGGACAAAAATAGTATATATATATTTCAACTGTCACTGATTATTTCTTCCACGCATAAATCGATACGAATGAATTAGCTTGTCGGGAGTTTCAACAATTCTCACGCACGTTAAACAATCATGACACGTTGGCAGCGATCAAAAGTTCTTTATCGGCGTATCCGCG